CTGTGCTTGGAAGTTATGCAAAAAAACAGATGTTAGCAATCAGTTCTATAAAACTTTTAGTGAATTCATACATCAGACTGGTTACTTCATACATACAACTTTTGCAAATATGGCTTTGTTTAAACACTTCTAGTTCATATATTAGCTAAATTATGTTAGATATATGGTTAGAAATGATATTGTTGTGACAAGATTTCTAAACTGACCATTTGAGGCAGAAATTGTGAACTTTTATTGACAGATAGGAATACATTAAGATGTGGACTGGAGACAGAGGCAGAATTGGATACTTTATATAATCTTGAATGTTGAAATGATTAACTACTAAACTTTACATTTATAGTATTCTGAAATGCTTTCAATTTGTTACCAGAATAAGTTCCAACAGGTTCTCTAGACATTACATGTCAGAAAACATGCACATAGGGTAAGCTGACAATAATTAAAGTCTTGTTTTCAAAGTCTTTAAAAATTGAAACAGGGGTGGGGGGATACAATGTACTGTTAAAGAGAAGTTAGAGTATATGCAGTGATTTCTTTAAGGCTATAATTCTGATAAATAAGTATAGGTGTGAGAAAAAGTGTTATTCAAGAGTTTTCTATTTGAGTAAATGTTAGTATAGGTTGCACTTTGTAAATTCAGCTGTTTCACAAGCCACGCCTCTTTTGGGGAGATATATAATATGCATAGATATTTTGTTTTGTTTACGTACTGGTTCCCAGATATGATCTCTATGTTTCATCTCATAGAGACATAACTTGGAAATGTTACCAGTATAAAAACACATTATAGCAGCGAAAATTGAATTCTGAGGAAAACCAGCAGTGAAGGTAGGTGTAGTGCAGAATTTTAGTATAAATTAAAGCTCCCAGACGTTTGGGGCATATAAATGTTGAAAACATGCCGCACAGCCCTATGTTTTGACCTTTGAATAAAATAGTAGTGCATATTAACTTTCCATTCTAGGATATAATTTTTTACGAAACTTCATAGTAAAAGTGGCACAGTTTTAGCCGCAAAGGGAGTCCTTATGGGAAATTGCGTTGTCTATATTGACAGAAGTGCAACCTGAAGAGAGAATTTCTGATCCACGAGGTAATGCTTTCCATTAGTCGCAGTCGTAACTCGCTGTATATAATCAAAAAGGGACCTTTACCTGATCACGTGTTAATGTAGAAAATGTTGATACATGCTGATTGTGCAACAAGTCTTTACCCCCCCCCCTCCCCCCCCCCCCCCCGTAACAACAAAAAATAAAATTAAATGTTCTTAATCAACTAATAGAAGTTCCTTAATATGTTTCTTGCGCAAATGTTGGAATGTCAACGTATATTTTCGATTCCTGCTTACGAAGTTTGTAAACTCTAGACGCTACTGAGTTCTACCATTGGTCAAGAATAATGTATTCGGAATGGGCGTGACTTTTATCAACCGATAGAAGGCGCAACATTATTATCACAAATGTTGGCTTAATCGGCCAAGGGTAGAGAGGAGGGGGCTTGATCGTAACCCTCGGCTAGCGAAAATGATGGGTCTTCAACACAGCGAGAAAATCCCGCACCTGGAGCGGGCTTCAGTTTGCCCCTAAACAATATTATGTACTAGTTCAGTGAAAATGTTTGTACGTGAGTGTTTCCACTGTTGGTGCATATTGATTATTGATTTATTACTTTAAAGGTCAGGCAATCATGTGAATGTACGTTAGTAGGGACAGATTATGCCATCATATACAGTTAATATAAAACTAGCATAATTTGGAAATTATAATACACAATTTTCATTTGTGTCAAATCAGTAGCCAAATTAGGATTCTTATCATACCAGTCGAAAACAATAGAGAGTATACTTGAGTTAAGCATTCAGTCAATCAGGCAAAATTTACCGAAATATATTTTGACCGTTTCTAATAATCTTGCTACTTCATCCAAATATTGTAATGTTTTGACTTTCACCATATCTTTAGGATAGAGCGGATTTGAGGAATGATACTCCAGAAGCACTCGAAATTCAGTGTTAACAATCATGGCATTGATATCGAAATTATGAAAATCCATGGGTTTCTAAGACTTTTCTGTGAATGATATTCTTAATGAAGGTCAAACGGGCGTAAACAAGAGACCAACGATACCCAATGAATATATGAAACTCGCCGGTCGAAGATAATTTTATGTCAAAACACCGTCTCCAACAAATTATTCGGAAAACACATTTAGTACATTATCTATTTAGTCAGAATTTTTATATTAGTTGCTGCAGTTTACGAAAATCATCATGTTAGCGGATGAATCGTTAAATTATACGTTTATCACTGATTAATAAACTATAAGTCAACGTATGAGTTAAAATTTGTTTGTATTAAGTATAAAAGAATGATAGACATCACTGAAAAACTCTATAAATAAACAAATTACAAACAATGTATATATTATTAACTAAAATGATTATAAGATACAATAAAATACTTCCTTCATTACTACTACTGCTACTTCTACTGTAACAACAACTACTACTTGTCTACTACTACTACTACTACTACTACTACTACTACTACTACTAGAGATTTACAATAAGTGTAGGACTCCGACCCGAGTCCGAATACTAGTCAGAGTAAGACAGTTTAAATGACGGAGGCGTTCTCAAAATAACAAAATATTGTAAACATTGTACTTTAATCATTATAGTATCAACTGAAAAGTTGTTTTCGGCGACTGACAAAACAATGACTACCGCAAACTTTAACTCTGGCTTTACTTATATGTCGAGGAAGCCTCCAACGAGTTCCAATGACTTTATAACATTTCAATTCGCTAATAACATGTTCAACGGAGGCTTGGTATTCTGCAATGAGTCTGTTGAGCTTCCTACACTTTCTCTTTTTTGTGTTCCGGCTTTCTAGTTATCTGCTGTCTGGTGTATGTCGTGTATGGCTGATGAAAAATAATGTCTATTCCAAAAATAAATTAACATTTTCTTTGCCTGTATGTACAATTCTTGCCAGATTTTTATAAAATTTGTTATTACCTTAGACAGAGAAATATTCATCAAAATCAATGCGAGAAGGAATTTGCATTACTACGGAGCCCCATAAGTGCCATGCAAATATAAATATTTCCGTTTGACGGAGATTTAATCTGGTACGCGTCAGTTTGAAAAATCATGCGCAGGACTTTGAAACTCGTGTGCACGATTTGAAAACTGGTAAGCACGACTTCGAAACTCGTGAGAACGACTTTTAAAAACGGGTGCGCACGACTTTCAAACACGTGCACATAACTTTTACAAAGTTTGAATGCCTCTATACGAAAAAGCGCACGAGTTTTTAAGTCGTGCGCACGAGTTTGAAAGTCGTTCATACGATTTTTCAGACTGGTCTTTTCCAAGACTATACACAGTGGAAACAAACAGCCCCCAAACAAAAAAATAGATAAAAAAAACCTGAACAATTGTATTATCCAATCCCCTTTTATATAATTCGTCACTTATGAAAGGACCATTTTTTAAACTTGAAAAGTTTTTTTTTAATGTAATCGGTAAAAATTATCATACAACTGGAGCATAAATATGTGTTGCGTTTTTAAATTCTGAACATATCTGATAGCGAGCTTAATCAAAAATCGCACTCTCTACCCTTCAGTAAAAAAAAAGTCAATTAATTTGATAAATGGTTTGTCCTATCACCACACAAAGATTGAGCACGTCAAAATTAGTCGTAAACATTATTTTGTGATAACCCCTTATAGCTTACCTGTATGATTTGTAGTCGTACTCGTACTCGGACGCCGAGTCTGACATTTATAGTAAATCTCTACTACTCCTCCTACTACTACTACTTCTACTACTACTACTACTACTACTACTACTACTACTATGATTACTAATACTACTACTTCTACTACGACTACTACTACTACTACTACTACTACTACTACTACTTCTACTACTACTACTACTACTACTATTACTACTACTACTACTACAACAACTACTACTACTACTACTACAATCTTACTAATACTACTACTACTACTACTACTACTACTACTACTTCTACTACTACTACTACTACTACTACTACTACTACTACTTCTACTACTACTACTACTACTACTACTACTATTATAAGTTATATGGTTCGCTACTGACCCCCTACGGATCCATAGAGGGTTAGTAAAATTCATAATGGTGAGGCCGAAGGCCAAATCTCCTATGGATTTTATTCACCCTCTATGGTCCGTAGGGGGTCAGTAGTGAACCGTATAACGAATTTATCGCACGCGGTATTTTTTCTGCTGTGTTTTGTAGAAAAATAAACAATGAAACACAACAACATTAATAGATGACGTCACCATTAACAGTAGAAGTGACGTCATGAACCCCCTATGAAATTTACTAACCCCCTACGGATCCATAGGGGGTCACCACGTGACGGCGTTAAACCAATCACAACGTGATAATTTACCCGCGGTGCAATAATACTACTTCTACTACTACTACTACTACTACAACTATTACTACTACTACTTCTACTACTACTATTACTACTACTACTACTACTTCTACTACTACTACTACTACTACTACTACTACTACTACTACTACTACTACTACTACTACTACTACTACTACTACTACTACAACAACAACTACTACTACTACTACTACTACTACTACTATTACTACTCATAGTGCTGATCAGTCATCTTCAATTTCATTTCTTGAAACTACACGCTACTTGTTGCTCCCCACGGTTCACAATATTGATTTTTGTATAATGCTTTATCTCGACTTGCACTTGCAGAAGACATGCACGACACTCTTTTCAGTTCCATAGCGTTACTAACTGGTCTGTCAGAAGCCGATTTTCGGTTATTTTTTCTGCTAAACATTTGAGATTCTCGACCAAATCGTTTTCTTGTGTTACGTAGACAACTTACAGAAGCTCTTGCTAGCAAAACCAACAGCAGAGCTGCTGATACACTGATCATATAAACATATATATATGGAAGTGATCCTTCTGAAAATATAAAATAGGTACTGTAAATTCAGGATTGTGCATTATTTCTACCTTAGACAGAAATGCAAAATTTTTAAGTGCAATTTCTAAAGACTTTAGGACAACAAATATATCGTTTTTTTAAATTTACTTTAAATTGTGTTCACATACATACGTCCTTTTAAAACTTCATAATTAATAATTAACAAAAAGTTGAGACAGTTGAACACACCTTAGGATAATATGAGTTATATCTATGATTAATGAAACTCTCTAAAATTGATACTAATTTTATTTTTTTTTCCAAACATATGGTGTTTTAAAACCTCGCCATTTATATTTCGTAGAGTAAAAACGACCTAACTGGTTTGTTTCCGACGAGTACATATGACAAATCTGAATTGTCTAGCTTTTGAAATCATTTAATCCTAATGTTTGTTTCACTGTCACAACTATCGATTTACACTTGCGTTATAAAGTTTCATAAAAGATTTGTAATTGAACTTTTCATGGAAATCAGTGATGTGCACATATAGAATAATCGGTATAATTGTATTAAGTGGTGAAAGATAATCGACTGTTATACATAAATATAATACATTTCAAGATCGTACGCGTGTTGTATTTTTATATTGTGTGAACTTTTATTTTCAAAGATGTCATATGTTTAACATGTACTACATCAACAATTAAGGGCTCTCATACATTCGAATTGTGAGACATATATATGTGACTTATATATACAATGTCTGATTAAATATGACGTCATGAACAATTTTGCAAAGTAGTAATTGTATCATAATTTGTTTCAATAAATTATATCTTTGTGAAAATTTCTTTAAGATAATAAGATATTGTAGAACATTAAATCAAACTCTGGATAATTCCGTATCACCTATATATTTCAAACTCCAACGAACATATAACTTAACCAACAACCATATTGTTTCCGGAAATTACCTGTTGTCCATGTATTCATTGTTGTTGGCAAAGTATCGTGGTCACCATTAAACATATCTGTCTTGGATTTATACATGTACTCACCTAATAAGAGCAAAACAAAAGATTGTTTGGGGGGTTTAAAGTTATGTTCTATTCACAAATCTAGATTGATTGACTGGTGTTTAACGCTGCTTTCCACACTATTGTTTTTTTTTTTATGATCAGTTTGTAGGTTTAGAACCACTTATTGGGCCCGGTCAGAAAGAACATGCAACAAAGTAGTACATATTTTAAACAAAATACTTCCTACGCATAGCTACACATTTGTCAATAAGTAAAATATTTGGATCATTTTGGTATCAAATGAAAGTTTAAGAACTTGGAACTACTGTAGAACCCTTGTTTAAACTTTCTTTTGAATAATAAAAAAAAAAAAACACACGAAATTAAGATAGGAGGGCATATTTGCCCTGTTGCTGAGATCATGAGTACTTGAGTTTGTACTACCCAACTTCCGGGAACCAGTGTTCTCTGATATGCAATTAAAGGTATGTTGATTGTTTTAGCACAAGTCAGAGCCACCAACCTTCGACTTGAAGACTTACTATCCTAATCAATAAAGATTGAAATCTAACGCACCTTCAACGTGCAAGGTTCGAATTCACAACCTTAATTATAGCAGCCTAGTGGTACAATAGTTAAACTACTCACAAAACTAGACACACTAACACGATCGATTGAATTTGTAGCCGTTGGATCATTGCTAAATACGTTCGTATTTAGCTAGAAGCAGATACATGCACATATACAAAAAAAGGGAACTGTAAATAAATTGTGATTTTGAACATTTTAAGACAACTAGCCGACAACGCGCAAATAATATTGTTCATTCGACAATACAATAATACAAAAAACGTCAACATTAACATCTAATTACCGAAATATTATGTATCAACGGTAAATGATGTTTAAGTAATACAAAGCTGTTTTGAATGCCAATGGAATACGTTAAAAGTTTTTGTTTTTCGTCGCAAGTCCTAAGAGACAAGGCATGTGCTACAAATGCAGATAGAACTTGATTAACACGTAAGTGCAAATCATACACCGCTTCAAAAGCCTATCTCCCTCAAAGCACGTTTTTCTATTGCCTTTAACTGATAAAGGGTTATCTGTTGTTGTTGCCAATTGTTGCCGTCTTTCCGATTATTGTTTCTCTTATATACCAATTAATATGATGATTTTTAAAGCTTGTATCATGAACTACATATAGCCATTGCATTTTATACGGTGTCAATTGAGTTTGCCGTCACCGTTCCTCCAACAGTAATTTGACAACTTTTTGATCAAGAAAAACTAATACATGTAATACTAGTAATGTGTAAGTACTTACGATCTGAACAGTTACTGCTGTCTTTACATATGCAGCCGTACACATTATTGCATATCTCGTTCAAAGAACAATTACACATTTGTTTACACAGGCTACCGTAGTAATTTGATACACATTTTTCTTTACATTTCTTGCCATACCTTCCAGCTGGACATGCTGTAAGATGAATCACAGCATGTTTAATTATACTGCAATCACTCCTCTTTATATAAAACTATATGTTGGCGTTGCACAAGGACATGTTTTCTATGACTGCAAATGACATGTTTTTCTCTGGCTGATAATTACGTCTTTACGCTAAGCCAATTGGATGATAGATGTATATGATAGATATTTTGCTTTAGATATGTATTTGTCATATTGTTTAATTTTCTATGTACCTGTCCCAAGTCAGGAGCATGTCATTCCAGTAGTTGTCATTTGTTGTTGTATACTTGTATCATTTTTGTTTGTCGTTTTTTTTTGTATACATAAATCAGGCCGTTCGTTTTCTCAGTTCATTTGTTTTCCATTTTTCATTTCGGGCCGTTGACAGCTTACTATGTGCATGGGTTTTGGTCAATGTTGAAGGCCTTACGGTAACTTATATGCCATTTGGTCTCCAGAGGAAAGTTATCTCATGGGCAATTACACAACATCTCTTTATTTTGATAAATTTGTTATCTTACGCTTAGTGCATGTCTTAGAAGTTGTGTTTTTTAAAGCAAAGAAAACAAACGTAAATTCAAAGTAACACTTCGACTATTCATTTAGGATGAATCGATTTTCATGATTTTCATTCATCAATGTTTAAATAACCATGAGCGAAATAGACTACCTCAACAAATCAAAATTCAGCTTTGTCTGTCCTACGTTAATAAAATGTTCGTAATTTATAAACGACAAAACGATTTAACATAACACTTAATCAATGTACTATGTCCGAACCGGACTGTTGAATTTACGTTCATCAGGAAAAATTTGAAAACAAGAAATTTAAAGTATTACTACAAAGAAAACTTTTATTGAATGGCGACCACCTCACACATTGCATAGATGAAGCATAGATTATCGTAGTTTTTGTTGTAAGGCGTTAGAGGAAATAACACTAATACATGATAATACAACGTTTTCAAAACAAACGTCCAGTGTTTTGATCGATACTGTATTGGATATAAATGTATACTGTAGCCAGGATATTTTCAGTCTTTATTTACCACAAATAGTAACATGGTGATATATCTTGTTGTGTCGATTTCATGTAACGTCACCTTTTTCAACACGCTGGGGCTCGTTTGGGGATTGAAACACGTTTTGTTACTATAATTGTAGCCATTTAAGATGAAAGAAATATTACGTCAATGTCAGAAAAAACATCAACGTTTTGTATTCGGCACAAACTGTGGAAGGACTCAGGAAACTTGAACCTTCTTCACTCTCTGTACCTCATACAAACATATAATATTAGGTCTGACGTTGACCTAATATTGACTATGTTTGTTTCACTCTATTCAATTCGGTTTGATTTTGTTGGAAATTAAGACATGCGTGATCAATTACTGTCTAGTTGTTTGGACTTCTTGTTGTTGCTTTATTTGACATATTTACAAAAGGAATTTACCAATCTATTGCATTTAATGAATACTGTGTCAGTTTAAAGAACACCAAATACGGTCATAAAACATTCATTTCTAACACGTGATTGACTTCATTTGATTTATCTAAGTATATTCTAAATTTGATATGTAAACGAATTTCTCTTTTAGTGAAAAGACGAAGGACAAGTTCATAGAAATTATTACAAAACGCTATCAAAAGACCACTGCAAGTTATGAAATATAAAAGAAAAGAGAATGACCACGGGTAATGTGTCAACGAGACAGCAATTCAACCGAACAACAGAAAACAATCCAAGCCTACCAAGACGAAATTTGTAAACTACCATAACAGTATTAGTCTTTTTTCCTTCTTTTCTTTCGAATTATTATAATATAGTCAGTATTTACCTTACTTATAAGCTCTAAGCATTCAATTCCTAACATCTTGCTTACTCATTTTTTTCCCTTTATTGCAATTTTTCCCATTCGTGCTTATATGCTCCTTAAAAAAAAACACTACCGCCCTCCGTGCATTGTTGCGCAGAGCATTATTATTTCGTTTAAAATGTTCAGTGTAACGTGTTTTGTAAAGAAACATGATATCTATAAAAAGGTGTAATTGAAAATCAAAAAAAGTAAATTAAAATTATGTCGATGCAACATACATGACATATGGGAATGCTAACATGCATGTATGTTTGAGCCAATAATTGTTCCTATTTTTTCGGACTTTTATTTTCTTTGCACATTTAATTTTTTTCTGACACAAAGGAATATGATATATCATGTTGTTCGCGTAGAAAATGCACTAGCTGTTTTACTATTAAATCTTCTTTGTCCGTTATTTCAATTCTCGAAAAATACTGCTTTTAAATATACTGACAATAAAGACATACTAACAAAAATGGAAAAATTATGATTATCGAGTGAAGTCAATACACTGATCTTGTTGTCAAAACATTACTTACGGGTGCAAATATTATTCTCAATGTAGAAGTTGGGACAACAGTTCAAATAAATGCCAACTTTCTGGGATGTGCTGAAATATAAAGACGATAATAATAAGTAAGAACGAATGTCGAATACCTTCATATTTCAAACTTTCTCGGATTAACTTGTGAAAAAACACAGTTTCACATTACAAAACGTCTTCGGACATAGATTTGTACGTACACATTAAGTTTAAGTACTCGGAGAAGCAAACAACTAAATAGTTTATGTATTATAAACCCTGAAATAGAAATGTAAATATTTTAGTACCTACTTTTTGCCAACTATGGCTGGACAAATTCCGCTAATATTTAGATCCGAACATGCTATCATATGCAAATAAATGGATGTCAAAAAGAGTGAAAACATTTCGTAACAAGATGTTCACAAAATTGACCAGCTACATTGTGAAACAACAAATTATGCGCAATGCTATGAAGTTTTTTAAATATATTATGACGTTTAATCACAACAACGAATTAGGCCATATTAATACATACTCTTGAGTATTTGATTTTTGATTGGTTATCAATTTACACAAACACATTTCATTTAACATAAAGATGTAACAATTGAAACTCTAAAGCGATATATAACGTGTGCGTTATATTTTAATATGTTCACAAATTTCTAGAAGAAAGACATAAATCAAACGAACATCAAATCATAACGTGAAACACCGAGGAAAAGGTAACCAACTTAACCAAACATAAAAAAAAACCTGCTTAGTATACTTAAATTGTTGTTTTAATTATTTTCATTCATTACAAATACAATTGAAACAAGTTGGACAAAAACAAAATGTATGCCGAACATTATGAATTACTCCTCAGCTACGGGAAAAACGGGAGCTACATAAATAAACTCATCATAGGTACCAGAATTGCAATTTTTTTTTTTTTTGCGTCAGACGCGCGTTTCGTCTACAAAAGACTCATCAGTGACGCTCGAATCAAAAAAGTTAAAAAGGCCAAATAAAGTACGAAGTTGAAGTGCATTGAGGACCAAAAATTCCTATAAAAGTTTTGCCAAATACAGCTAAGGTAATCTATTCCTGAGTTAGAAAAACCTAAGTATATCAAATATTCAAAGTTTTGTAATCAGTTAATTTATAGTTATGACCATATGAATGATAATTCAGGTCAACACAGAAGTGCTGACTACTGGGCTGGTGTTACCCTTGGGGAATAAAAACTCCACCAGCAGTGGCATCGACCCAGTGGTTGTAAATAAACTCATCATAGATACCAGGATTAAAATTTTGTATTTGCACCAGACGCGCGTTTCGTCTACAAAAGACTCAATTGTTGCCGTCTTTCCGATTATTGTTTCTCTTATATACCAATTAATATGATGATTTTTAAAGCTTGTATCATGAACTACATATAGCCATTGCATTTTATACGGTGTCAATTGAGTTTGCCGTCACCGTTCCTCCAACAGTAATTTGACAACTTTTTGATCAAGAAAAACTAATACATGTAATACTAGTAATGTGTAAGTACTTACGATCTGAACAGTTACTGCTGTCTTTACATATGCAGCCGTACACATTATTGCATATCTCGTTCAAAGAACAATTACACATTTGTTTACACAGGCTACCGTAGTAATTTGATACACATTTTTCTTTACATTTCTTGCCATACCTTCCAGCTGGACATGCTGTAAGATGAATCACAGCATGTTTAATTATACTGCAATCACTCCTCTTTATATAAAACTATATGTTGGCGTTGCACAAGGACATGTTTTCTATGACTGCAAATGACATGTTTTTCTCTGGCTGATAATTACGTCTTTACGCTAAGCCAATTGGATGATAGATGTATATGATAGATATTTTGCTTTAGATATGTATTTGTCATATTGTTTAATTTTCTATGTACCTGTCCCAAGTCAGGAGCATGTCATTCCAGTAGTTGTCATTTGTTGTTGTATACTTGTATCATTTTTGTTTGTCGTTTTTTTTTTGTATACATAAATCAGGCCGTTCGTTTTCTCAGTTCATTTGTTTTCCATTTTTCATTTCGGGCCGTTGACAGCTTACTATGTGCATGGGTTTTGGTCAATGTTGAAGGCCTTACGGTAACTTATATGCCATTTGGTCTCCAGAGGAAAGTTATCTCATGGGCAATTACACAACATCTCTTTATTTTGATAAATTTGTTATCTTACGCTTAGTGCATGTCTTAGAAGTTGTGTTTTTTAAAGCAAAGAAAACAAACGTAAATTCAAAGTAACACTTCGACTATTCATTTAGGATGAATCGATTTTCATGATTTTCATTCATCAATGTTTAAATAACCATGAGCGAAATAGACTACCTCAACAAATCAAAATTCAGCTTTGTCTGTCCTACGTTAATAAAATGTTCGTAATTTATAAACGACAAAACGATTTAACATAACACTTAATCAATGTACTATGTCCGAACCGGACTGTTGAATTTACGTTCATCAGGAAAAATTTGAAAACAAGAAATTTAAAGTATTACTACAAAGAAAACTTTTATTGAATGGCGACCACCTCACACATTGCATAGATGAAGCATAGATTATCGTAGTTTTTGTTGTAAGGCGTTAGAGGAAATAACACTAATACATGATAATACAACGTTTTCAAAACAAACGTCCAGTGTTTTGATCGATACTGTATTGGATATAAATGTATACTGTAGCCAGGATATTTTCAGTCTTTATTTACCACAAATAGTAACATGGTGATATATCTTGTTGTGTCGATTTCATGTAACGTCACCTTTTTCAACACGCTGGGGCTCGTTTGGGGATTGAAACACGTTTTGTTACTATAATTGTAGCCATTTAAGATGAAAGAAATATTACGTCAATGTCAGAAAAAACATCAACGTTTTGTATTCGGCACAAACTGTGGAAGGACTCAGGAAACTTGAACCTTCTTCACTCTCTGTACCTCATACAAACATATAATATTAGGTCTGACGTTGACCTAATATTGACTATGTTTGTTTCACTCTATTCAATTCGGTTTGATTTTGTTGGAAATTAAGACATGCGTGATCAATTACTGTCTAGTTGTTTGGACTTCTTGTTGTTGCTTTATTTGACATATTTACAAAAGGAATTTACCAATCTATTGCATTTAATGAATACTGTGTCAGTTTAAAGAACACCAAATACGGTCATAAAACATTCATTTCTAACACGTGATTGACTTCATTTGATTTATCTAAGTATATTCTAAATTTGATATGTAAACGAATTTCTCTTTTAGTGAAAAGACGAAGGACAAGTTCATAGAAATTATTACAAAACGCTATCAAAAGACCACTGCAAGTTATGAAATATAAAAGAAAAGAGAATGACCACGGGTAATGTGTCAACGAGACAGCAATTCAACCGAACAACAGAAAACAATCCAAGCCTACCAAGACGAAATTTGTAAACTACCATAACAGTATTAGTCTTTTTTCCTTCTTTTCTTTCGAATTATTATAATATAGTCAGTATTTACCTTACTTATAAGCTCTAAGCATTCAATTCCTAACATCTTGCTTACTCATTTTTTTCCCTTTATTGCAATTTTTCCCATTCGTGCTTATATGCTCCTTAAAAAAAAACACTACCGCCCTCCGTGCATTGTTGCGCAGAGCATTATTATTTCGTTTAAAATGTTCAGTGTAACGTGTTTTGTAAAGAAACATGATATCTATAAAAAGGTGTAATTGAAAATCAAAAAAAGTAAATTAAAATTATGTCGATGCAACATACATGACATATGGGAATGCTAACATGCATGTATGTTTGAGCCAATAATTGTTCCTATTTTTTCGGACTTTTATTTTCTTTGCACATTTAATTTTTTTCTGACACAAAGGAATATGATATATCATGTTGTTCGCGTAGAAAATGCACTAGCTGTTTTACTATTAAATCTTCTTTGTCCGTTATTTCAATTCTCGAAAAATACTGCTTTTAAATATACTGACAATAAAGACATACTAACAAAAATGGAAAAATTATGATTATCGAGTGAAGTCAATACACTGATCTTGTTGTCAAAACATTACTTACGGGTGCAAATATTATTCTCAATGTAGAAGTTGGGACAACAGTTCAAATAAATGCCAACTTTCTGGGATGTGCTGAAATATAAAGACGATAATAATAAGTAAGAACGAATGTCGAATACCTTCATATTTCAAACTTTCTCGGATTAACTTGTGAAAAAACACAGTTTCACATTACAAAACGTCTTCGGACATAGATTTGTACGTACACATTAAGTTTAAGTACTCGGAGAAGCAAACAACTAAATAGTTTATGTATTATAAACCCTGAAATAGAAATGTAAATATTTTAGTACCTACTTTTTGCCAACTATGGCTGGACAAATTCCGCTAATATTTAGATCCGAACATGCTATCATATGCAAATAAATGGATGTCAAAAAGAGTGAAAACATTTCGTAACAAGATGTTCACAAAATTGACCAGCTACATTGTGAAACAACAAATTATGCGCAATGCTATGAAGTTTTTTAAATATATTATGACGTTTAATCACAACAACGAATTAGGCCATATTAATACATACTCTTGAGTATTTGATTTTTGATTGGTTATCAATTTACACAAACACATTTCATTTAACATAAAGATGTAACAATTGAAACTCTAAAGCGATATATAACGTGTGCGTTATATTTTAATATGTTCACAAATTTCTAGAAGAAAGACATAAATCAAACGAACATCAAATCATAACGTGAAACACCGAGGAAAAGGTAACCAACTTAACCAAACATAAAAAAAAACCTGCTTAGTATACTTAAATTGTTGTTTTAATTATTTTCATTCATTACAAATACAATTGAAACAAGTTGGACAAAAACAAAATGTATGCCGAACATTATGAATTACTCCTCAGCTACGGGAAAAACGGGAGCTACATAAATAAACTCATCATAGGTACCAGAATTGCAATTTTTTTTTTTTTTGCGTCAGACGCGCGTTTCGTCTACAAAAGACTCATCAGTGACGCTCGAATCAAAAAAGTTAAAAAGGCCAAATAAAGTACGAAGTTGAAGTGCATTGAGGACCAAAAATTCCTATAAAAGTTTTGCCAAATACAGCTAAGGTAATCTATTCCTGAGTTAGAAAAACCTAAGTATATCAAATATTCAAAGTTTTGTAATCAGTTAATTTATAGTTATGACCATATGAATGATAATTCAGGTCAACACAGAAGTGCTGACTACTGGGCTGGTGTTACCCTTGGGGAATAAAAACTCCACCAGCAGTGGCATCGACCCAGTGGTTGTAAATAAACTCATCATAGATACCAGGATTAAAATTTTGTATTTGCACCAGACGCGCGTTTCGTCTACAAAAGACTCAATTGTTGCCGTCTTTCCGATTATTGTTTCTCTTATATACCAATTAATATGATGATTTTTAAAGCTTGTATCATGAACTACATATAGCCATTGCATTTTATACGGTGTCAATTGAGTTTGCCGTCACCGTTCCTCCAACAGTAATTTGACAACTTTTTGATCAAGAAAAACTAATACATGTAATACTAGTAATGTGTAAGTACTTACGATCTGAACAGTTACTGCTGTCTTTACATATGCAGCCGTACACATTATTGCATATCTCGTTCAAAGAACAATTACACATTTGTTTACACAGGCTACCGTAGTAATTTGATACACATTTTTCTTTACATTTCTTGCCATACCTTCCAGCTGGACATGCTGTAAGATGAATCACAGCATGTTTAATTATACTGCAATCACTCCTCTTTATATAAAACTATATGTTGGCGTTGCACAAGGACATGTTTTCTATGACTGCAAATGACATGTTTTTCTCTGGCTGATAATTACGTCTTTACGCTAAGCCAATTGGATGATAGATGTATATGATAGATATTTTGCTTTAGATATGTATTTGTCATATTGTTTAATTTTCTATGTACCTGTCCCAAGTCAGGAGCATGTCATTCCAGTAGTTGTCATTTGTTGTTGTATACTTGTATCATTTTTGTTTGTCGTTTTTTTTTGTATACATAAATCAGGCCGTTCGTTTTCTCAGTTCATTTGTTTTCCATTTTTCATTTCGGGCCGTTGACAGCTTACTATGTGCATGGGTTTTGGTCAATGTTGAAGGCCTTACGGTAACTTATATGCCATTTGGTCTCCAGAGGAAAGTTATCTCATGGGCAATTACACAACATCTCTTTATTTTGATAAATTTGTTATCTTACGCTTAGTGCATGTCTTAGAAGTTGTGTTTTTTAAAGCAAAGAAAACAAACGTAAATTCAAAGTAACACTTCGACTATTCATTTAGGATGAATCGATTTTCATGATTTTCATTCATCAATGTTTAAATAACCATGAGCGAAATAGACTACCTCAACAAATCAAAATTCAGCTTTGTCTGTCCTACGTTAATAAAATGTTCGTAATTTATAAACGACAAAACGATTTAACATAACACTTAATCAATGTACTATGTCCGAACCGGACTGTTGAATTTACGTTCATCAGGAAAAATTTGAAAACAAGAAATTTAAAGTATTACTACAAAGAAAACTTTTATTGAATGGCGACCACCTCACACATTGCATAGATGAAGCATAGATTATCGTAGTTTTTGTTGTAAGGCGTTAGAGGAAATAACACTAATACATGATAATACAACGTTTTCAAAACAAACGTCCAGTGTTTTGATCGATACTGTATTGGATATAAATGTATACTGTAGCCAGGATATTTTCAGTCTTTATTTACCACAAATAGTAACATGGTGATATATCTTGTTGTGTCGATTTCATGTAACGTCACCTTTTTCAACACGCTGGGGCTCGTTTGGGGATTGAAACACGTTTTGTTACTATAATTGTAGCCATTTAAGATGAAAGAAATATTACGTCAATGTCAGAAAAAACATCAACGTTTTGTATTCGGCACAAACTGTGGAAGGACTCAGGAAACTTGAACCTTCTTCACTCTCTGTACCTCATACAAACATATAATATTAGGTCTGACGTTGACCTAATATTGACTATGTTTGTTTCACTCTATTCAATTCGGTTTGATTTTGTTGGAAATTAAGACATGCGTGATCAATTACTGTCTAGTTGTTTGGACTTCTTGTTGTTGCTTTATTTGACATATTTACAAAAGGAATTTACCAATCTATTGCATTTAATGAATACTGTGTCAGTTTAAAGAACACCAAATACGGTCATAAAACATTCATTTCTAACACGTGATTGACTTCATTTGATTTATCTAAGTATATTCTAAATTTGATATGTAAACGAATTTCTCTTTTAGTGAAAAGACGAAGGACAAGTTCATAGAAATTATTACAAAACGCTATCAAAAGACCACTGCAAGTTATGAAATATAAAAGAAAAGAGAATGACCACGGGTAATGTGTCAACGAGACAGCAATTCAACCGAACAACAGAAAACAATCCAAGCCTACCAAGACGAAATTTGTAAACTACCATAACAGTATTAGTCTTTTTTCCTTCTTTTCTTTCGAATTATTATAATATAGTCAGTATTTACCTTACTTATAAGCTCTAAGCATTCAATTCCTAACATCTTGCTTACTCATTTTTTTCCCTTTATTGCAATTTTTCCCATTCGTGCTTATATGCTCCTTAAAAAAAAACACTACCGCCCTCCGTGCATTGTTGCGCAGAGCATTATTATTTCGTTTAAAATGTTCAGTGTAACGTGTTTTGTAAAGAAACATGATATCTATAAAAAGGTGTAATTGAAAATCAAAAAAAGTAAATTAAAATTATGTCGATGCAACATACATGACATATGGGAATGCTAACATGCATGTATGTTTGAGCCAATAATTGTTCCTATTTTTTCGGACTTTTATTTTCTTTGCACATTTAATTTTTTTCTGACACAAAGGAATATGATATATCATGTTGTTCGCGTAGAAAATGCACTAGCTGTTTTACTATTAAATCTTCTTTGTCCGTTATTTCAATTCTCGAAAAATACTGCTTTTAAATATACTGACAATAAAGACATACTAACAAAAATGGAAAAATTATGATTATCGAGTGAAGTCAATACACTGATCTTGTTGTCAAAACATTACTTACGGGTGCAAATATTATTCTCAATGTAGAAGTTGGGACAACAGTTCAAATAAATGCCAACTTTCTGGGATGTGCTGAAATATAAAGACGATAATAATAAGTAAGAACGAATGTCGAATACCTTCATATTTCAAACTTTCTCGGATTAACTTGTGAAAAAACACAGTTTCACATTACAAAACGTCTTCGGACATAGATTTGTACGTACACATTAAGTTTAAGTACTCGGAGAAGCAAACAACTAAATAGTTTATGTATTATAAACCCTGAAATAGAAATGTAAATATTTTAGTACCTACTTTTTGCCAACTATGGCTGGACAAATTCCGCTAATATTTAGATCCGAACATGCTATCATATGCAAATAAATGGATGTCAAAAAGAGTGAAAACCTAAGTATATCAAATATTCAAAGTTTTGTAATCAGTTAATTTATAGTTATGACCATATGAATGATAATTCAGGTCAACACAGAAGTGCTGACTACTGGGCTGGTGTTACCCTTGGGGAATAAAAACTCCACCAGCAGTGGCATCGACCCAGTGGTTGTAAATAAACTCATCATAGATACCAGGATTAAAATTTTGTATTTGCACCAGACGCGCGTTTCGTCTACAAAAGACTCATCAGTGACGATCGAATAAAAAAAAAGAGTTAAAAAGGCCAAATAAAGTACGAAGTTGTAGAGCATTGAGGACCACATCTTCCTAAAAGTTTTTCCAAATACAGCTAAGGTAATCTATTCCTGAGGTAGAAGATCTTAGTAGAAAAGTCGAATTTTGTTAAAAGCATGAATCCGTAATTGTGTTCTTGTCAAGAGGTGTAATAGAACATGCAGAATGAAAAATGCAAACAGATATTTTATTAACTATGTCGGTATAATTCAGTTGAATTGGTACCAATTACCGACCTTCAATTTTACAATGATGAAAACTTCGCGACTGTTTGCACAAAAATGCATCATGTTAATATGATTTATTTAAAGCTCAACGAAATAAATGACATTCGGATACAATTCATTTTGAACAATAATTTTCATTGGACGTAAGAGTTATTTTAAAGTATTATATTCAACGTTCTACCAGTCCGCAACTACAGAAAGCCACCATTTTGAACTCCGATATTATTTTTGTATGTAATTTGTGAAAAAAAAATAAACAAAAAAGGTCACATTTTGTGCCTTCAATTCTCAATTTTGTTAATACTGAAACCATTCAGAAACGTACGAAAAGTTTAAATACGTCTTGTGTTTATGTTTCACATCGGGAGTATACTTATGACGTCACACTGTTAAGATGCCAATTACGATGTAACAGTTTCAGGGACATTGTTTTGATACTTGAATTT